TAGAGTGTGAAAGTCTATTCTTAAAACCTGTCAGAGAACATTGGCAAGGTTTTTGGTTTATTATACGAGTACACAGCAAGTTAGACAGGTCATGATCAGTTCTCCTCTGAGGCAATGTTTCCGTCCAAATTGAAAGTGTTTTCCTTCTCGTGTTCCTTGAATCAGCAGACTTGGCCTTATATCTTACATCACTCTAGTCCAAACACAATATTCGCATATATGGTGCAGAGCTAATTCGCAATACTGAAACTACTGTCTGTACAATATATTTGGTATATTTATTCCTATGCTTTTCTATTTGGAGCAAACAAATCTCATTTTAAATGAATTAACCTTCTTTGGATGGTTTGATATTCTGAGTGTGGAAGCTTTTGGACCCTGCACCTCCTGTGCTGTTAAGCTGTAATTTAAAGACACTTACCTGGCTTGCTATGGGGCTTACTGCTAATAAATAATTGAAATACTTTTTGTAACTTAGTCAAGTCACTTTTATGATATTTAAATGTGCATGATTTATTGAAACTTATTTTATATTAACAAAACATTTACATCCTTTGCTCATTTATGATCATATCAACAACTCTGCAACCTGCTACCCAAGGGTTGCACAGCTCAAAGACTTTTAGTGGTAATGCATTTTTCTGGTTATTCTGACACCTCATGAATGCCTTATATTCCACCCCATGAGAGCGCTAGGAACATAAAAGGCCCTTCACTCTAAAGTACTCACATCCAGGTGTTTTCACTTAGATGGGCTAATTAAACCCCTTCTCTGGACTGTGAGTTTGTACAAACTGTGCCGGACTAAAATAAAAACCCCCGTTTCGCACATTTGTGGAACAAGTTTAATCTTTGTGTTTTTAAGGGAAAAAAAAAACAACCTGTATGGTGACTTTAACAAACTACCAGCAAACTGTAGCTCTACTCAGCTTCAAACAGAATGAGTAAGAACGCCTGTGTGGGTGTGCAGGACTAATAAAATCTAATACAATTTTTTTCAGGGTTTGTTGTGGCAAAGGTCCTCAGTGGTAAAATAGAATTGCTTAAAAAAGGTGCTTTGAAAACAAAATTATGTCATCTTTTGGATGCCATTGGATTCAGGTTTCCCCATATGATTAATGTAGGAGCTCCATTAAAGGTATTAATGCTTTATGACAGCGGTCCCCAACCCCCGGGCCTCGGTGAGTTGAGGCTCAGGTGTGAAATGTATGGTTTTCAGGGTTTTTATTAGTTTTCAGCGTTATTTTGTTATCGTTTTGATCGTTAACTCGGTTTTCCTGGGTCTTTTCACGTGTGTTATGAATAAATCTTCTTTTTTTCAGTACCGGTACTAGTTTTGTTGTATTTGTCCGCGACACCTCAAAGGCCGGTCCGTGAAAATATTGTCAGGCATAAACCGGTCCGTGGCGCAAAAAAGGTTGGGGACCGCTGCTTTATGATATGTTAGTGTGGAAGGTATAGTTCTCATCAATAGTCAGTTGGAAAGGTTTCTGTGTTTACGGTCTTTCATGTCTAAATCAAGTTCAACCAAATAGCTTGTTACTTTTATGTAAACCTATGATTTTGTCCATTAATGTTATTTTTTGTAGACATGCCAGCAATCATTCTTTCTAAACGTCAAAATATTAGTTAGGAACAATGCTGTTTGCTTTTCCCCCAATTTTTTTGATCCAGTCTAAGATAAGGTGCACTGTTTCATGCACAAATCCTTTATTGCAGCGTAGTATACTAAGTAGCAGGTTTCCTCTAATACATTGGATCGACAATTACAATATAAACGGGGGAACTTACATGAAGTGTTTTCGGCTGGGCATTGTGTACCTGGAGTCAAGTGTTTTTGTCAGTGCACAAAACCCTATATTTATAGATATAAGTTGTAATGGCAGCTATTACATTCATGAGTTTTTATTATATGGCGTGCTGCAGGGAGGAGCCTGTTCTAACATTTGAATCCGAGCTTTATTTCGAGCCCCTGATGGCTCTTTCTTGCTTCACATTCGTAAACCCTCGCAATACTGTTTCACATGATTCTTCATTAGGTGGTAGACGAGGTTTGTTGTGTCGGTGTCTGTGGTGGGGACCAGTTTGCACAGTACATTTTTCTGCTCTGTGTCAGACTTTTCATTAACTAATAAATTCCATGCTACAGAGGTAACCCCTACTTTAGAAATGAGCTCCTCGATTTGTTCTGGCTGGTCCTTCTGTATTGGTGTGATGACTATTGCAAAACGTCATCTAAAGCAATGAAAAAATATTGTAGTAAACAGTGTGTTTTGCGACAGCATGAAATAAATGATATAATATGAAACGACAGTTGTTTTAATATCTTTTTCCATTATATTTCGTCATATCACACATCCCTAATAGTGATCGATAGTGAAATGAAAAATCACATTGCTTTTTTTTGTTGGTTTAATCTCAATTCAGTGACTAAATCATTCAATTGGTCCATCACTGACAAAGCTAATTAAAAGCAATGTGACTTATCCTTTTTTTTCACCAGTGCATCAGAAAAAAAGGACCCAGCAGTGCTTAGCTTTAATGGCTTTAGGCACCCTGTGAAATCACAACAGGCAAGAACCACAGTAGACATCACACTATCAACCAGGAAGTACCTGAGAGACGGAAATCATGTTCACCTTGTATTCACCTCTCACTGAGCTCATAATTGCTGGAGAAAGGTGCACTGAGGGTCTGGAGTCCATTACCATATACCCATGGACAATGATTAATGACCCAGTGGGAACTAACAGCAAGTGACTGCTCTCAAACAGCGTCCGTAAGCTCATATGCCACCAAACATCTGAGTATATACTTCAGAAATTGTAAGACCTTGTTTTGCACTTCAAAGCATTGAGAAAAATGTGACTGTGACTAACACAGATGCATACAGCTGTATGCATCTGTGTTTCTAAATGTGTGTGGATAAGGGTGTACTGTTGTGGTTGTGTGGTCGCAGAAGCAGGGTTTTGAGTAATTGGGCTATGGATTCTTTCTAGTTTTGTATTTTGTATGTAAAGATCGTCTTTGGATACGAGTTCCATTGATGGAATTTAGCTTTCTATTCACACTGTTATTTATTTGTGTTTACATGTCTTCTTTGTATAAGTTCTTTATGGATTTGTTATTCGTGCCTTTAGGTCTTAGCCTGAGTTCCTGATACACTTACGTTAATTTACTTATTTTGTGTTCCCATCCTTTTCCTTGTCTTTGTATTTGTCTTTTTATCTTTCTCATTTGCCTGTTTGTCATTTGTGTCAAGTTAATCTTGTCCCCCGTGTCTGTTGTTACTCTTCTTTCTATTTTATTTTGGCTATTGTTGTTCTCTGGGTTTTGTGTGGAGTTTTTCTTCCTGTCTTATTAGGTTGTCTGTGTTCCCACCTGTTATAGCTCCCCTCGTTATCTTGTGTGTGTATATACTGTCTCCTCTTGTCCTTGTTGCTGTGTGTCACCTTGTCCTATGTTTCCTAAGATTTCTGGTGTCCGGGTTGCTGTTTCTGTTCATTAAATGCTTTCGGACTGTCTGTATTCCATTGAGCTTATGGGATTAAAGTGGAATTTTGAGTTTAATTCCTGTTTCTCAAGTCCTGCATTTGGGTCCACGATCCACAACCTTGGCATTAATTATAATAATTATGTGCGAATGAAATAACCTCCATAACATGCAATTACATGAACCGTGTAAGTTTGATCTACTCATTTTATTGTCTACATTGCACAACAAACATATTTATGATACTCAGTCACTGGTCAGTTTGCTTTCTGTGGATCTAGAAAGCATATGATAGGGTACCAGGAGAGGAATGGTGAAAGTGTATGAGGAAGTCAGGAGCGGCAAAGAAGTATATGAGGGTGGTAAAGGACGAGTGTGAGGACAGCGAGACAGCGTGGGGTTGGACTGACAGATGGGTTGAAGTTGGGGGTGGAATTACACCAGAGGCTAACTCCAAGCCCTGTCTTTGCAGTGGAGATGGACAGGCTGACAGATGACGTCTCCATGAACAATTATATTCAGAGACAACATTGTAAGCTTTATTTAGAGTAGTGAGAAGCTGAAAGAGAGTCTGGAGAGGTTGTGGTATGTACTGGAGAAAAGAGGAATGAAAGTCAGTAGATGCAAGAAGGAATACACGTGTATGAATGAGCGGGGGAGAGGTGGAAAGGTGAAGATGCAATGAGTAGAAGTGGTGAAGATGGATTTTAAATACCTAGGGTCAACCTTACCAAGAAATAGTTAGCGTACAAAAGATGTGAAGAAGAAAGTGCAGGAAAGGCGGAATTGGTGGAGACGAGTGTGATTTGTTACCGAAGGTCAGCAGCAAGAGTTTCACAAGACATTAGTGAGACCTGCTATGATGTATGGCTTGGAGATGTGGCACTAGCAAAAAAGACAGGAGGCTGCAGGTGGCAGAGCTGAAGATTTTCAGTGGGAGTGACCAGGAGGGACAAGATTAGAAATGAGTACATCAGAAGAACGGCTCAGGTTGAGCAGTTTAGAGACAAAGTTAGAGAGGCAATGTTGAGATGATTTAAACAGAGGGAGAGATATAGAGTGGATATACTGGACAAAGGAAGTAAAAAAAATGAAGCTGCCAGGAGGAAGAAAAAATTGGAAGACCACAGAGGAGATTTCTGAGAGAGGATCTGCAGAGTGCTTGTGTGACAGAAGAGGGTGCAAGGGACAGTATTACATGGAGGAAGATGATTCACGATGGCGACCCCTAAATTGAGTAGCCAAAAGAAGCTGAAATGAAAGTAATAGCAGCACATATTTTAAATGACTGCAGGAAGATGCCTTCTAAACTCTGATATTATTATTTAGCAAATAACAGCAAATTTCAGTGGGACGCATATATAAATAGTACTGGTCTGTGCACTGAAAAACAAAAAAACATGCAACAGAGTTTCTGTTTGTCTATAATAAACAACAGGGATCTGTGTGCTGTAAAGGCAAGTCCCAATCGAGCTGGCAGCATGGTACATCTTCAGCAGCAACTCACCGATGGGGCTGGTTTCCCTCCCTTTGCAGTGCAGACAAGAGTCAGATTCTGGGCTTGGTATCGACTGAAAGGGGCTGGAGTGTTTTCTGCCACCACTGATATGTTGTTTGGGGGTGCTGTGAAGGACAAGGGAAAAGATGTGTGAAACAGCATCCTAACACACAACCTGAGAAATTCATAAACACTTACAAAACATCTGTTTTCACTTTCTCTGTGCATTGCAAGAGTTATTTCGTGATGAAATGTCATCTTAGGGTTATATATGTAGGTGGAAACCCTACTGGCAAAACTGACAGCAAAGTAAGAGCAAGAAAGGGAAAGCGGATAAAGAGAATTGCAATTCTGTCCAGATATTTAAAACTAAAACAAATGTAGAGACCTACTTTATCTATCTACTATATCTATTTTCAAAAGAAAGCAAAAACCTGCTGTGAGAATCTCAGCTTTAAATGGAAACTGAATGGCGGGGACAATATGTTCGAAACTCCCCAGGGCTCATGCGAGTCGGATAAGGCTGATAAGGTAGAAAATCTCATACATATCATATCACTAGCCCTCTATCTGAATCTCTCTAGGGATTCCAGCAAGTATGTCATGGTAGTGTAAAGGGAAAACATGTGAGCAAGACTTCACAGCACTTTAGAGGAGCACAGGGAGGGGAAGGGGGTAATGAATGGAAATCTCACACGTTCCCCAGAAAATCAGCTGTTCAACATGCAGTGCTCTGGTCCTTTTTATGGCAGCTTAAATATGAACGTACATACTTCACAGACCACTGTGTGATGGTTTAAATGAAATATTAACAGATACCTGGTGACAGTCATGGCTACCTACACAAGGACTATCTGAATTTTGATCAGGAATGCAGAGCATCAAAAACACTTTTCACAACATTTTCTATTTTTCTTTCATGTAATTGTGTTTTTACCTCTGTGAGGGATTTCATGAAACATTGTGCACACATATTTAAAAGTTAGCTGCTCAACAAAATTTGGCAGCAGGACGCTTTAGTAACACATGAACAGGCCTGAGCTCTTATCAGAATAAGAAACATTTTTGTAATGCCTCAAAAACTCTGTGAATGGAGAGAAGAATCTTTTTGAGACAGATAAGGCCGATAAGGCAAAAAGAAAGGTCACGCAGAGATCAGTGGCTTTTTCATGTGCCAGTTTTATGTGTAAATCTATCAAGCAGTTTTAAACAGACATGCCACAGCAATTAATTGATTAAAAGCAGGTGGGAGTTGGTGGGGGATTTAGCTGCTGGCTCGGGTGCCTCTGTGTTTCCACACCTCTTAATTGCTTATTGATGGAATTCATATGGTTGTAAATTAACCTTAGAACACTCCATTAGCTTACTGACAAGCCTGTCTCAACCTGGCATATGATAAGCTGTCAGAGGTGTCTGCTTCTGACCAGTCAAGCTCAAGTACTTGACACAGCAGTGTATGTAAATGGCATATAGTACAGTGAAGCTGCACTAATATGCACACCATATAATAAGATGATAATAAAAAAAAGCAATTCAACTTTATAGGGCTACAATATTGATTGCTGTATTCTATAAAACAAAATTATATTCTGTTTTGTGGAGTCCAGTAAATGTATTCTGGACACTCCTGGTACTTTTTTCCTGAGCTGTGCAGTTAAAATATGAATTAGTTTTGCAATATGAACATCTGTGAACACAAAGAGATCAAGAGTTTTTCCAGCAATCTGTAGAGAGCTTTAGCACAAACACGTGTAATAAGTTAATCTCATGAAAACTAATCTAATTACAATAAAAATAATTACTGTTAAATTGGATGTCTCCATTTGTCTAATAAACACAGATAATCCCCTGAAAGTTATCTAAAGCACTAGAAAAAAAGATGCCTTCTTTAGTTACAAAAATTACTAGTACAACCTTAAAAATGCAGAAATAAATTGATTCCTCACTCTGGTTCAGAGGTGCTTCACATTTATCATGATACTCTATTATTTTCTGCCCTGTAGGTGTGAGGGCATCTAATAGAAGTCAAAGCCTAAGACGAGCCTTAAGCCTTGGTGAAATATTTGATATGATTCATACCAAGATGTACTGTGCACAGCACAGTATTTTCAAACACAAAAACCCTAAACAGGATTAAGATGGCTGAATGTAATGATTGCATCTAAGCCTTTCATACCTCATTTAATTGAAGTTGTCTCTTTGCTCACTTGTTAAAGGTTGAGCTGATTTTTCTTTTCTGTTTTTCCCTGCGATGGAGTTCTTTGTCTTACAGAGATCTTCATATCACTTATTTGAAAAGAATATACACATATTTTTAATATAAATAATTTAAAATGTCTCTCTTGACAAGGTTACTGCCAAACGCAATATTTGGGACTGATATAGCGCTCATACAAAACATGGAGAGAAAAATATTTGCACTGAAACTCCCCCCCAAAAAATGTCACAGTCAAGTGTGCTAAACAATACGTCCTCTTGGGAAAAATGTCAAAAGAGGAAAAACTTGCAGAAAAAATAAGAAATATCAATATGAAAATGTGACATTCTTCCAGAGTTTTCTTTAAAGACTCAAACAACCGAAGTAGATATATAACAATTCCAAAACCCTCTTTATGAAATCTACACACATTGTATGGGCATAAAATATTTCTCCTCTATATACCTGTCAGTGCTTTAACATACTGGCTGTGGTAACAGCAGATGCCACGATACACCCATTTCTGCCAACCTTTAAAAAAGCAACGAAAAAGTTGGAGGATAGGGTGGTGGTGTTAGAGAAAAATAAACCTTTGACAGGTAGGAGGTCAGGAGATGTCCTGATTAGGAGATTTGTACTTTTCATTTCTATTAGCTTATTAGATTTGGACAACAAAAACTACTTTTGTTTCTACTTCCACAACACTAAAAAAATAATGCTTACCCAGTGTGTTTAAATGTGACTCCAGGGGACAATTTACAAGCATCCATATGTGATGAGTTAGGGCCCATTGCCCTAATGCAGCCTGGTGTGTCATGACACTCAGACATTTTATGTGGAATGGTAGCAGCTTTGACTAAACAGAAGTATAGGATGTCCTGGAAATAAAAGTGGTTTTCATGATCTTTTCATCTTTTCTTTGCCGGTGTATTTTCTCCAATCTCAGGGGCTCATTTTATTTCTTCAATCATTACTTAAAATTAAAACTTTTTGAAAACTTGCAATTACTGTTTTAGGATGACAAAACCACGAGAGGTGAGACACCTTTGCCTAGTCTGCAAAATATATACTGTATAAAATGCTGGGTGTGTTTCATTGCATCATAAAATATAGATCCCGAAGCCTATGAAATGTGAGGTCTGCAGTCCCACATCCTGCCGTCTTTGTTTCAAAAACCGCACTTGCACAGCACTGCATTAAAAGCAACATTTAATTCCTTTTGTCCCTAATAGTACTACTGCTAGTCACATCAATAACAATCTCTCCCGCTATTTACCACCTCCTTTTTTCTATATCCTCAAACAGCATTACTCTGCTATCTTTACTAACAAAAAAGAAAAACAGAAAGGGAGAAAAAAACTGCAAAAGGGGATTGGTGAATCTGCAAAACAGAAGAACATTTAATGCTCCATAGAGACAGCCTTCCCTGCCTCATAATTAGGGGATTTAGAGCTCTGGAGACAGCTGGACTCACAAGACACTCCCAACATCCCCCTGTACTAAGCACCCTGACCTTGAGTCCACATCTCTGGGGGTTTATTTATTGTGTGTGTGTTGTATGTGTGGTGGTTGTGGTTGTAAGATGAGCGTTGCAAGAAATACTCTCCAGTCCAGTCCATGGCTTTTACTTCTACTCTTACTGATATTAATACATTAACTGAACTGTACTTATTCAAATGTTTCAAAGTAATCAAAGTGGGACTTTTGAACGAGTTCAGCAAACTAAATGAATGTAATTTCACTTGAAGGCATTTTGCCTCTCAGCATTAAAGCTAAGAGGATTTACTTCATTCTTAATTCCTGTATGGCTTTTGTGTTAGCCCTTTTATAGACTAATGATCAATAAGGTGCACTACTGCCTCACACACCACATGCCACAAAAGGCTTCCAACATCTGTACCTGCATTTATTGGTACAGAGAGTATTGTGGATAGACGGACAGAAAAGTAAAATAAAAAATTGCCAAAATAACATAAATTCCTCTCTGAGTTTTAAAAAGTTGAAGGTTGAATTAAATATGCAAGCAGAAAGAAAGACATTTGATCCCAAAAAACATCTAAATGTACTTTAGCAATGTAGTACTTTCTCTACTGCTTTGCAGCAAAATATTTCTCTTATTCTCATTTCAGTGAGATTTTTCATTTTAAAGAGGTCAGGTACAGCCTATAAAAATTGTGGAAGTATTTGACATATTTGGACAATCAAACATACAGCTCTCTTTTAAACACTGCCTCTAAAAAGAAAGTTATTATTTCTCAGCAAACTAGAAAATAATTTATGGATTTTCATTAACTGAACAAAAATGTATATCGTCATCTTCTGTGGAAAAGGTATGTATGTGTCTGACCGTAGACGCTAACATTGCCTCTTTTAGCAAAAAACAAATCAACAACAAAACAAAATTATTTTAGTTGCATGATATCCAGGGGTCTCTCGAATATGGAGCCGCTTCAGATCCTTCTGCATAAGTTTAAAGGGATTCAAATCATGACTTAGGCAATTCCATCTTTTTTTGACTAATTTCTTGGATGAATTGCTAGTATGTTTTAAAATGATTGTCCTTTTGGAAGAACCACTTCAAGCTTCAGAATAATGACATTATCTTCAGTCACTCTTTGATATGATATAGAGGTCTCCAGTCTATAACAGGGCGAACATAGAGAGAATGACAACCAGTCACACTCACATTCACACCAGTTAACAAGTTAATCTAACCCCATTAGTAAATGTGGGGATTTTGGACTGTGGCCAGAGTATCCGTACAGAACCAACAGAAACGCGTGAAGATTGGCCACCCAGCATCTTCATTTTCTGTCTCCTCACTATATGTTCCTGGCACTAATATTTTCTCCTCATCGTCTCACACAACTCATTCAGTTACCAACATTTGTTTCCATGTCACCCATGACAAAGCTATGTGCATTTAGT